AAAAAAAAAAAAAAAAAAAAATCAACATATTGAGAAAATTTCAATTTTTTAAATAACTTATATAAAATAGGTAATGTAATATTAAATTTTATTTAATGGCTATGGAGGTATAACTGAACGATTGACTTAACTAACTCTTTTATAAAAAGAGTTAAAAACATTTCTGAGAACTAACTTTGTTCAAAGTAGAACATTTATGTAAATACTTAAGAAGAATTGAATGAGGCTAAGAAGTTGGTTACAACAGTTTTTAGTTTAGCATCTGTCTCATCAGTGATTTTACCTTCCTTGGCAATACTATCCAAAAGTGATCTTTCAGAGGTCCTGATATAAGAAATAAATTTATTATTGTTAAACAATATAATAATATAAATAGTCAAACAGTTATTACTTTATGTGTTGTAAAAATTCTTTTTCAAAAGCAGTAATTTTTGATGGTTCCATTTTATCAAGGAATCCACGGACACCACAATAGATTACAGCTACTTGTTCTTCAATAGCCATGGGTACTGAAACATCAAAATACTAGTTAATACCATTTATTTATTAAGTTCAAGTAATTGAATAGTGGGATTTATGATCAATTTTACCATATTGTCCTTGTTTCAATAATTCAGTAAGACGAACACCGCGGTTTAAAAGTTGTTGAGTAGCAGCATCCAAGTCAGACCCAAATTGGGCAAAAGCAGCTACTTCACGGTATTGAGCCAATTCTAATTTCATTGAACCAGCCACCTTTTTTAAACAAATGATGAATAATAATATATTATTTATAAAAACTCATTATAAAATAAATTTTTTTTTTTTTTAAATATCAAAAATAACACTTAATTAACTAACAGACAAGACCTTCAGTATCCCTAAAAATTTATTTTAATTTCAGCGCACTTAACTTAAATAATTTCCTTACCTTTTTTATGAAAGCAAAAGTTTACATACAAATATGCCATTATTATAAGTCTTTGAATTAGCATTCAATTAGGTAAGGATTAGTGATGGGAAATATCGAATAGTAATTATCGAACTATTCAATAGTTGTCCACTATTCAAACTATTCGATAGTCATTCAAAAAATATTAGATAATTACACAATATATATCGAATAGTTTTTAAACTATTCGATTGTATAAACACAATTTGAATAGTTATACGATAGTTTAAAATAATTGAAAATGCCGATCACTAATTTTTACTATTATTAATTGTATAATAATTTATTTTAAGTATTCGTTAATTATCTTCTTATTATAATCAAGTGTACTTAATAAAAATTTTAGATAGAACTAATTGAATATTTTTTAAAACCATTCAGTAGCCTATTTGAAAAGTTTTTAAAACTATTCGGTTGTATAAAAACAATTCCAATAGTTATTCGATAGTTTAAAATATTGGAAAATGCCCATCACTAGTAAGGATATGAAATAGCACAAATTCATCATTGAATTCAGGTAAATTTTCACATTAATAAAGTATAATCTATGTATAATTGGTAAAATTAGGGAGAGGAAAATAACACAATGAGCCTTTCTAAAAATGTTATTGAAATTGTGCCTATGCAAAGTAGTAATAAATTTTTTATCAAATAAATATATTTTTTAGTACAATAAATTATTGACAATAGAATAAAGGTTACCTGTTTCATGGCTTTAGTTTGGGCAGCAGAACCGACACGAGATACAGATAAACCAACATTAATAGCAGGGCGAACACCTTTGTAGAACAACTCAGTTTCCAAGAAAATTTGTCCATCAGTGATGGAAATTACGTTGGTAGGAATGTAAGCAGACACATCACCGGCTTGTGTTTCAATAACGGGTAAAGCTGTCAAAGAACCACCTCCTAAAGTTTCACTCATTTTAGCAGCTCGTTCTAATAAACGGGAGTGAAGGTAGAACACATCACCAGGGTAAGCTTCACGACCAGGAGGACGTCTCAACAATAAAGACATCTAAAATAAATTTAATTTAATTATTAATTTACTACTAAAAAAAAAAAAATTAAATATACTTGACGGTAAGCAACAGCTTGTTTGGATAAATCGTCATAGATGATAAGAGCATGTTTACCATTATCTCTGAAGAATTCTCCCATAGCACATCCAGAATAAGGGGCAAGATATTGAAGAGGAGCAGCATCAGAAGCTGTAGCTGATACAATAATTGTGTAGTTGATAGCTCCTGCATAAGAGCAAATTTAAATTGATACAGATAATAATAAAAAATACAGTAATAAGGATTTTTAGGCAATAAATAACACTAACCACTATCCGTCAATCGTTTTACAATCTGAGCTACTGTTGATCTTTTTTGTCCAATAGCAACATAGATACAATATAATTTTTTTTTTTCATCTTGAGCATCATTAAATCTTTTCTGGTTAATAATTGTGTCAATAGCTAAAGCAGTTTTACTGAAAAAATAAATAAATTTCATTATAAAGTTTAAATATAAAATATAACAGCCTTTTACAATAAATTTAATGATTTTAGTACATTAAATATTAATTGTTGGAAAATATTATTTATAATATACATTAAGTTATATTAAATAATAGATATTATTAATTACCCAGTCTGTCTGTCTCCAATAATCAATTCACGCTGACCACGACCAATTGGTACAAGTGAATCTACAGCTTTGATGCCAGTCTGCATAGGTTCTCGTACAGACACACGAGGAATAATACCAGGGGCTTTAATACCAACACGATACCTAGTTTTGGTGGTTAATGGTCCTTTGCCATCAATGGTATTACCTAAAGCATCAACTACACGTCCTAAGAGGTCTTCACCAACAGGTACATCCACAATAGCACCAGTACGTTTTACAACATCTCCTTCCTTGATCAATTTATCATTACCAAAGACTACAACACCCACATTGTCAGGTTCCAAGTTAAGAGCCATTCCCTATAAAAATTAAACATAAGTCTTCAAATAAAAAATTTACAACAATACATACCTTCAGTCCAGAAGAGAATTCTACCATCTCTTCAGCTTGTACATTTTTTAAACCATAAACACGGGCAATACCATCACCAATACTTAATACACGACCAGTTTCTTCTAAATCAGCCTAAAATAACAAAAAATTAGTATTAAGTTTTATAATATTCATAGGTTATTTTCATATTAAAAATTAATTACCTTGGGAGGTGCTCCCAAAATTCTTTCTTCCAATATGGAAGAAATTTCTGCAGCTCTTGCACTGCAGGTTACATGGATTGAACGGCTAATAAGTTTTGATGTAGTCCAAGAAGATTTACTTATCTATAAATGAATTAGTAAATATATTTGTACAATATATCGAATAAGAATGTTAATGCCTAAATCTTTATGACCCAATCATTAATCTTAAGTGCTTGCCAATAATAGAAATTATTTAAATAGGTAAATATTAACAATAACAATTATATGGATAAGTTTTTACCTTTTCAATAAAAATTGTAATTATATTTGGAGAATGGTTAACATGATAATCAAAAAGTATCATTTATATTATTTTTTTATTACGATAATGGAAAACATCTAAGGTACATACTTTACATTAAAATAGGTTATTTATAACACAAAAGATATTAAATATGTAAATAATATAATAATTAATTCTACATTGAATATTTTTATGTATACCACTTTAAATAGCACACCTCACTATAATTAAAGGTCATAAGAAGGTTATAGACAATTAATTTAATGGAAAATATGCCTTGAAGCCCAAGTACAGGTAAATTAATAAATAAAATCATTCAAATAATTACAAAGACATCAAACAATTTAATTTAAAAATACTATTAGTTCAACTATAATGGGTATCAACCGGCGTAGCCTAAACGTAGACGACGGGTCATTGTGACCGTTTAAGCAAGAAATAATTTTATGTATTTACCTGTGGCAAGGTGTTGTTTAATTGTCTTCCAATTTTGGTGGCCAAACGCAGTGATAGATTAGCCATATTTAAATCTTTTTATTTTGATAGTATATTATAACTTAGGAAGTCTGATGAATTTATTACACAAACGGGTTGGAAACGAGAAATAAAATGGATGGCTGCAAATCGTCGACTCCCCTACCATCTATGTTCACCAAGTGAAACGCAGCCTATACAAAACACATGTTTTACAGTTTCGCCAATATGATGCTGTATTATTTATTGGAAAGGCGCCTCATTTAAATTTATATTTTAAAAAATATATATTTGATAAATGATTATTTAAAAAAAGTACAAATCGATCATAAAAGTAACTTTGTTTGAAGTGTTTGAACATGTCTTGATTAGAGTAGTGTGATGAATTTTCAACAATAATGCTAACAGAAGGTGAAAGTATTAAAGAGATAAAGTAAAAATATTGTTTTAAATTTCAACGATTTTTTTATTTTCACTATCTAACAGGCTTGTACGCAAAAATATATGATTTGCTAAAACTCTCTTTGGAAGTACTATGAAAAAATTGGATGGATATTAATTTTGTTATTTTTACTACTGATTAACTTAAAAAATAAAAATAAAATTAGAATTTTTTTAACCACTTTGACACTGAATTTTTCGCTCCGGTACTAAACCTAAACATTTTTTTTTTAAATGAATATGTTTAAATGCTTTAGGTTTGTATTGTTAAGGGCTTGTTTAATAGTTGAGGATCTTGGTCAAAATCAAGAATCAGAAGCTACCCGACGTCTGCCCAAATATCGTCCCTATCTCCTTTAAATGAGCTAATTACATGAAGGAGACAAAGGCAATCGTGTACCTTAGTTACAGGGGATAGATTATTAAATAAAATTGTTTTATGTCAACGACAAAGTAAAGTTATATTTTAGATTTTCAGTAAATATAAATTATATGTAATGTACAATACGTCTGACCTGAATCCTAGTACAGTTGGTTAGTAGGTATATCCAAGTGAGACGGAGTTGGTTGGCTAGATGACGATTGGCAATAGACGGGTCGTTGAATAAAACAAGTTAAGTTATAAATAATATAAATAAGACGAAAGTAATAATATTGAAAACTATGTCTATAACGGCCACTCAAACACAACTGCCCTTTGTTAGTTCGACGTCAGTAGCTCCGGGCTACAGACGAGTAGAATTGTCACATCAGCATCTTCCTCTAGCTAATTAATATGTATTATGAATTAAATAAATAGAAATAAAACGCGTGTAATATAAGTGGTGAGAACATAGTAATAAATGTTCTTACAGTATAGTTAAAATTATATTAATATTTACTAGATAAATTAAAAACATTTATTTAACATTAATACAGCATTTAAAATTCTATGCATAATTAACGAGTAATATAGTAGATAACACTCACTTCAATAAATTAAAAAAATTTTGAAACTCTAGACTACAAAACAATTATTGTTTAAAATAAAAGAAACAAATAATAATTAAATTTTTTTATTATTTTAGTGTAGTCGAATTAATTAAAACATAGTACCGTGGACAAACTGATTTCGGTCACTTGATAAATAAATAAAAATTTTCTATCAGATCAAATTGTGAATTTAAACATTATTACAAAAAATTGCCTTAAATAGTTTTTTTAATATTATTTTTATTAGTATAGTGAAATATAATCAACAGAACCACTTTTATTCAATAAACATTTACATTTTTCTACCTATTTCATTCATTATTTACTATATATTACAAGTAGGCTAAATTATAAATCATATCAAAATATGATAATTATTGCCTGTTTAAATAAAAGGAATAGAATACATCAACAATTTTATTTATGAATGAATATAAGTAAATATGATAAATAAGTATTTTGATTGAAATATCAAGATTAATTAGTTTAATGTTTTCTATACAAATAGAGGTTCCCAAGCTCATTTTATTTTTGATATTACAATTATATGTTATAAGGAAGTACAAATTCAACAAAAATATGCAATAAATGAAAAATGAATATGTTCTTATATTAAGTTAGGTACATTATAAAATGACCATATACCAAAAATTCAATCTTTTTAATAAACAATATTATACATATAATAAACACAGCTTTTATAACTTTATGTAGATTTTGATGATTGCTCTTTCTCTTTAGCATCTTTTTCCTTCTTTTCTTTTGCTTTTGCTTCAGCTTTAGCAGCAGCAATTTCAGCTTCTAATTTTTCATAGTCAGAAATTAACTTTTCAACTTCATGTTTTTCAAGTATATTTGTCACAGTCTGATCATTAACTCGTTTAAGGGTGGCCATTTCCACTAAAAATATTAAACTTTCAATAAAAAAAATATAGAGGACATTTATGATTGTTACTAAAAATTATTCATTTTCGGCGTCATTGTCAATAATATGAATGTTTCAATAATTTTCTGACATTATAGATATTAAAGTAAATAATAATTATTTTATACTTTAGGTACATAATATGTACCTAAAGTGTATATTATACACTAAACAATAGTTAGAGAATTGAACTAATATACTTGAATAAGTTATTGGAGACTTTTAATTTATTTGATGAGTATTAATTTATTATTTCTTTTTATTTTATTTACCTTTATCGGCTGTCAGTTTTGTAGCATCTAATGTCTTAAACAAAATTTTTACAGCTAATTTCTTTGCTTCATCTAAAGTCATTTGTCCTTCCTTATATTCAGTTTTCAATGAAGCTATAGCAGCCTTTAAAAGTAAATTATTTTAAATGATTGTACACTTAAAAACTAAGCAATATTTTTATTGGTGTTTTTGTTCAATGATTTTTTCAAATATATAATTATCAACCATGAATTTTTTTTTATATTCTTTCCTTATACCTTAAAAGGGTGCCAACTGTATTTTTTCAAATGGCATTATATATATTTAATTAGTTTATTTATTAGACAATCTCCTCCTTTGTCTATGTATAATAATTTTAATAACTTTTATATTATTGTTGGGAGAAGAATTAAATATTATATGATTAAATCCAACATGAGCGACAAGTCTAATGCTGGATATAGGTTATAATTCCATTAACCAAAGTGTTCTAATTGTAACCATGTATCTTTAATAGGATTTTGTTAGTGGTCCTAACTAAAATTATTCTTGTCAAGATCTGTACCAACTCATAAAATCTATGACTTAAACTTTGCCCTAACATTCAACATCTGTAGTAGCTATTTTATATATTTACTGAAATGAATTACCTGTATCAGTATCATATTCAATGACTGAACCTATATTATCAATTGAGTGGACTGTAGAAAATGAAAAGTAAAAAAGGTAATTGATAACCAAATTTTATTTAATAACAAGTGTTTCAACTTTATTCATATAAAAATAAAAATATGTATGTTATGGACAAAATAAGTGTGTAAGTGAGCAAAGAACAAGAAATGTTAATAGATAAAAATTATGAGGTGTACAACATAAATTTGTTATAGATATAAGCAATGAGCAATCTCTAAATTAATCTGTCATTTAAATTCAACACAATGTTCAAATATTTATCAATTAAAGTTAAGTAACATATGAAAGTAACAGAATCCTATATAATATTACTAAGAAGGATGTAATTGTTTAATATAATGGGCAATACGACCACAAGGGATTAACTTAATGCTATAGATTCACAATGAACTAAAGGTTGTAAATATGTGCAGCTTTTGACAGATTGGTTAAATATGCAAGAGAACACAAAAAGCTAGTCACTGAATCAGCTTTAAAGCATACTATTAAAAATAATTGATGATAAACAGCTGAGGTCTAGTAAGTGTACAAAAAAGATGAGAAATTACAAATAGTAATTGGTAAACCCACTAGAGCAATGAAAAACAATATGTTTGAATATGTAAGGAACACTGTTCTAACTGAGTGCATTATAAACTGCTGATAAAAATGATCAGTGTGACCAATTTGAAAGTGCTTTGCGCAAAGTTAGCAAAGAGTCATTTAAGATCAATTAGATCATTATTTAATAAAAAAGCTAGTTAATTATGTATGTTGCCAATAGACAAATTAAAGTTAACACATTTATAATAGATGATCATAAAAAATATTTCATTGTTGATAAATTGAGATGAATATGGGACAAAAACATTATCAATATTACTTTATTTTTCAATTAAGAAAATGTTTCAAGAAAAAATATTCACTCTGTTAATAGATTAACTTAGTAATGAAGTATGTAAATCTACTTGTTCAATTAAGAAGAAAATATTGACTTACAGCACTATTTGTACCAATACATGTAGCTTTCCAACCACAATAATTACCACTGGGATCAGATTGATATAGTTGAAAACCATAATGTGAATCCCATCCCATATATAGAATAGAAACACCAAATGGTCGTTTACCTAATAAATATATGTATGTATAAAGATGAAAATAAGTTCTGCATTCTATTGATAAAGAAAATTACCTCCATATTGAGTGTAGGCTTGTTTTACATCACAAAGCCATGAAACAAGTTGTTCACATGGAATTGAATCACCATATTGCATTCGATACCTTTCAGATATAGAGCGTAATTCGGCAACTAAAACATTGGCATCAGCAGTAATACCAGCAACACTACATACCATATCACTAAAATAAAAATAATAATTTGTTTAAATAACAAATTAAGCGGCATAACATTAGGGCATCTACTCATTTAATTTATAGATTTTTTCAGATCCACAAGTTTCATCGAGAAGTTTGTTAACATTTCTTTTTTCTGCTGCAAGCAGAACACCATCATTAGTTAATATACCCAAACAAGTGCCTGCATGACTTATAGCTTCAATAGCATATTCAACTTGATATAAACGGCCTATTTTAAAAATAGTCATAATAAATATTAATTTAAAAATAATTGGTATAAATAAATTTAATAATAAAATACTACCTTCTGGGGAGAAAATAGTCGTTCTAGTGTCATATCTGCGAGCCTAAAATTAAAAATGAAAAAAATAATTATTAACATAGATTTCTTATCTAAAAAATAATTTATAAGGCAAAATGTGGAATATTAAGCAAACATTTTTATTTAAAACGAAAATAAAGGCTAACCATTTTAAGTAAAAATATTAAATCCTTTTACTCTTAAAGTATAATATAATTAAACATAAAAACTGTAGAAAATATGAACACTTAAAGAAATATCTATTTTTTATGTTGATAAACAATGACAAGACTTGAATACGATTTTTAATTTGAAAATCCGGTTTTTAGGTTATATTAATAACGCAAAGTAATCTAGGATATATAAAACCTCTTTGGAGTATTGTATTCTAGCCGCAATTATTTGAAATGGTGATAAAATTCTTATACTAAATAATTTTTTTAAATATTATTTTAATTTGTGAATCACAAATTTTAATAACTGTAATTTATGATTAATATTTTATGAATAAAGTTATTAATATGTAAAATATGCGTGAGTTGTTTTAATATGAGATATACATCTTTTTAAGAGATTATTTCTTATTATTGTTTACGTGGATTGAATTTATTCAAAATTAATTTAATAAAGATTATTAGGAATAAATTCATTGTATATCATGTCATATAACATAATAATAATATAATTTTTTTTTTCAACATTATTATTTAAATTTTTGAGATTATCTTTGCTATTTATCTTTTAAAAGAATTGAAAAATAAGGTTTTATTATGTTTTAGTTACGTTACGTCATATAGTTACACATGTATAACGGTGGGTTAATGTGTCTAGAGATATACTCTTCTAGACACATTAATCTCTATAACCTAAACAGACTTACTTGTTGTCGATGCAGTTAAAAAATACTTGTTTAATCATAGTGCAACCAAAATTTTTATTATTTTCTATATAGCATTCAAAATATCATTAGATATTAGAAAATAAATGAAAAAGATGCTACAACCAATATTTTATAAAAGAGCGATCCTAGTGGAAAATTTTAAAGGAATGAACTTAATTTTGTCAACTTAAATACTTTAATGAGTACAAAATTGCACAATTTATTCTAAAAATGTGGAATACTTATGACTTTGATAGACATTTGGGAGAGTGTGACATTAGGGTGGTCCTTAATTTTCATTTTTTTAAATTTGAACAGGCTACCCCCGGAATTTATTCAAAACTATAAAAAAATAATTTGTGTCAAATTTAATTAATTTTGGTCAACCCTAAGTCGTGCCTCAAGAGGGTTGAAAATTCAATCATGAGGGTAGTTTTTCAATAATTGTAGTTTATCTCAAAATTTGTGACTTTTACATAAAAGTTTATAAGAAAAAAATTGTAGATATGAATATTTACATAAAAAAGTTATTACTGAAAAAGTCATAAGTCAAATATTTACCTCGCAAAAGTTAAAAGTTCAACAAAATTGAATTCCTAGTACTATTTTTTCAACTTTTTTTTTTTTTGTAAATTACCGAGTCTCGGAAATCAAATTGCCCACCTTCATTGCTTTCCTCCTGAGTCCCTAGTACCGTTTCACAATTTTTCTCGATTGGTAAATACAGTGCGCGTCTACGTCACTTGCCGAGGACTTGAAAGTTAGCTTGCCTATACGGAACGCCTGAACTCATAAGTCATCGAAACATTCGTTCAAACTTAATCATCAGTGAGCGTATCATAATGTTTACACTATTAAAAGTGTAGCAATTGAAATCAGTTTTACTAATTTGTATAAATGTAAATTAAATTTATAAAATAATTTCTTTATGTAACTCACACAAATTGTATTATTCCTTGAATAACAAATATTGTTATATAAAAATAATGTTATTCCGGATTATTTTAGTGATAAAAATAAAGTTATCAAATTACCATTTTGAGTTAAGAAAAGTTAAATTGCCAAAACAAAAATCTTTTTACTCGAATTATAGAAAATACATTTTTTTTATTATAATATACTAACAGTCCATACCAACATAAAAAATACTTCATGTCTGATAAATTGCATATTATCTTAAAAAAAATTTTTAATTCTAATATAATTTTTATTTTACAAGAAATTAAATGGTTTAGAACAAGAATCAATATCTGATCAAATTAGAATGACTGATAAGACTGGTAATTAATCTTTATTTATAAGAAAAATATTCATATAATAAATATGTCATTTCTTTATATTTTGTTAATTTCACGTGAGTTTATAACTAATTTGTCTACCTTAAAATGTTTGAAATTTATTTATGTCGATTTACACATTTTTGTACTTCAATATCTCAAATACAATTATAAAAATATAATATGCAACAATAAAAAAAAATTTATATGAAGAAAATGGAANAAAATATCGATCCAGTGAGAACTGAGAAAAAAAAGTGACAGACAAAAAAAAAATATTAAATACAATATGGTAAAATTAATACTTTTTCAGTTTCGAATCGAAATTAAAAATGTCCTTTGAAATAAATGGACATAATAATTTTAAGTTATTTGGCTACAAGTATTATTGGCCAATGTATTTTTCATTTTATTGCAATTTATTTGTTTTTATATAAATTTCTCTTCTTGTTTCCGTGACTACAAATTTATATTGTTTAAGTTAATATTTTTTAACAGTCACGGGCGATTTAGATGTGACACGGAAATTTTCTGAAGCCCGAAAACTCCACAAAAATTGCCCAAAACCACATTTATATTTGATTTTTTGTAGTCACATATTTAATTTATATCTCTGCACGAATAGTGAAACATGAAAACCAAAAGCAATAAGCCTATAAGCCATCTAAAAACTGGACATAGAAAATCAAATTCCATTCTCGTCAACATACGTTCAAATCCTCATTATATTGGCAAACGTCCAAGTAAACGTAAAATTATAAAATTTTATAAAGATCTTTTAACATTTTATGAAGACGAGGATACAACGATTCAAAAGCCTGAAACTTCTAAGACGTTTCAATCAAAAAAGACACTTAATGTTGGCCATGTTAAGAAAATTACAAAAAAACAAACAACTGTCAATAAAAGACAAGTAAAAAATTCTAATGCGTTAATTTTGAAACGTAACAATCAAACTCGCAATAAGTCAAACGCTAAGATATCTACTAAAAACAAATCAAATTCAATTAATGTGGAAATACCATCCGAAGCAGACAAACGTATGAGTAAGATTAATTTATTTTATATTAATATATTTTAATATACAATTTATATATTTTACATAAAATATTTATAATTTTTGAATCAATAGATCCGATTGTATTGATCGGAAGAATTTCACAAGACATTATAGACTACTATATGTCTAGTAAAAAAACTAATACAGACGAAATAGTAAATAATTTTGANGCAGACGAAATAGTAAATCATTTTGGCGAACAAGAAAATGTAAGAATTAACAATTCTTGTAAGTAAGCTTAATTTATTTTATATTAATATATTTTGTTTTTAATTTACAATTTATATATTTTACATGAAGTATTTATCAAAAAAATATTTATAATTTTTGAATTTATAGATCCGATTGTATTGATCGAAAGAATTCCACAAGACATTATAGACTATTATATGTCTAGTAAAAAAACTAATGCAGACGAAATAGTAAATAATTCTGGTGAACAAGAAAATGTAAGAATTAACAATTCTGAAACCCACAAGATGTATCGAAAAAAGAATAGAACTCCTGTCATCGACATCAACATACGTTTAAATCCTCATTATGTTGGCAAACGTCCAAGTAAACGTAAAATTATAAAATTTTATAATGATCTTTTAACATTTGATGAAGACGAGGATTCAAGGATTCAAAAGCCTGAAACTTCCAAGACTTTTCAATTAAAGAAGAGAGCTCNTAAGACTTATCAATCAAAGAAGAGAACTCATCTCGACGACGTTAACGATTCACGTAAAAAACTTAGACTAACAAATAAATATGAAGACAAAGTAAATAATTCTTATACTCCTAATTCAAATCGTAAGAATAAAACTCCTGACGTGACAAATGTCGACATATCTACTGAAAACAAATCCAATTAATGTGAAAATATCATCCGACAAAGTCAATCATATGAGTAAGTGTCATTTTTTTTATAATAATATACACATGTGCATAGAATGAGTGGGGAGTGTATGTCAGCTGCATCACATTCTTGATATTTTGTGTTTTGCTAAAATTGCAAATTAAAACACTGTACGGCCTCAATGTGTATTGAAAATTTAGACTGGGGAANCAATATGTATTGAAAATTTAGACTGGGGAAAAAGCCTAGTTGTCTCCACCCAAATGACGCCTTTGTTTTTCTTATAAAAAAAAATCAAATTCCACTGTTCGAATATATATATATAAAACCCAGCACAGTGGGGTCGCGGCATAGTGGGGATGTTGCATAGTTGGGTCCAGTATAGATTTAATCTGACAGTGATTAAAATCACTATCATAAGAAACGCTTCGNAAAAAAAAATCAAATTCCACTGTTAGAATATATATAATAGTTTGATAGTAACAGCTAATCAATCATTCATTTTATACTATTATTAAAAATATATAAATAATATATTTTTAAATTTTGTATTAGTGTATTTTAGAGTTGTATTTTGTTTTAATGTTTCAAGTAATAAATTAATGAAGTATATTTCATAGAGCTTTAGTTTTTAATAATTAAATTTAGTCTAATTAAGTCACTTAATTATACATATAACACTTAAACCATAAAATAATCTAACATTTAACTAACATTTTGGAGGGTGCTAATTGGATTGTCATTTTACCCCAAACAATTATACAGGATGTCCAACTAGGTTAGACATATTTTATTATTTTTGATCAAATAATAATTTCGTTGAAATAATAACTTAATATGTACTTGTCCTAATATTATCATCGACCCACAAAATTTTTTTGTAAGATAAGGCTGAATAATGGCTATTTTTAAATTTTGAAGAAAATAAAATTTCAACAAAATTATTGTTGTATTATAAGTTATAAGTCATATCAAAACATACGTAAATTAAAAAAATGTTGGGGGTAATTTTGTCAATTGAGGGGCTTAGCACCTTCTTGTTTCCTAGTTGTGTTTATGACAAGAAACCCTAAAGGAGTTCCTCGGAAACCCTTCTACACTAAGACTATTAAGCGAATAGCAAAACCGCGTTACTTTAAACATATTTTTCATTTTTGTTTTGAAAATAACATACGAATTCTTATGAAATTATCATAGTAATATTTATTTTTATAAATTCTTTTTTAAAGTTCCAATGGTGTTTATAAAAAAGATTTC